AGAGAGCCTTGCGTCTCTATTTAGGCTTGTTTGTCAACACAAAGAAGTGTCTCTGTACCATAGGAACAGTACTGATCACCTCACGTGCATACGCAATGAAAACAGGTCTCGTGTCTTGGCCAAGATATACAGGTTACGCTATGCTCCTACACTAATCACTCCTCTCTGCTCTCTCCGCATCCCCCATGCCTCGAAATATTCGTTATCTGGTGCGGTCTAGGCTCTATCAGATCGTAGCGTAGGCTAAGTTATTAAACTATATACGTTACAAAGCACAGTACGACTTGGTAAAAGCCAACATGCGCATCCATTTTTAAAGCCGCACACCTAGAAACCTATGCAACCTATCCAGAAAAAATCCGCGCAATTCCACCCGGCTGAAAGATCTGCTCCGCTGCTAATTTGCCATGGAATCATAATGCGGCCGAAGCGCATGCGAGTCCCTACCACATGAGTCCTTCTCGTTCGTGAGCCAGTAAGGCTGGACAGATGGAGGGAGTTTCGAGTGAGGGGGAGAGGTAACTGTGAATGCATTTCCATCAACAATCAAAACTGTACCGCTGGTGGGGTCGCTCAGCGAAATTTTACACAGGCGATGGTCGTAACTCTCACCAATCATATCATGAAAGGCATGACTTCTTTTTTTACATGCCTTTAGAAATGGACTTATTGGCAACCGTCAGCTCATTGAATGCACAGTGGAAAAGAGGCATATAAAAGGCTCATTACTTGTATGGTCGGATCACTCGGACTTTGTCATCTGAAGTCATGGAAGCTATATATCTAGTACAGAATCTGATAAGTGGTGGTATTTTCACTGGCAAGAACGCAATTTCCGCGCATAAGTTTGAGCTGAAGGGAGAAAGATACTTGTGTTCAGAACAATATTTTGGAGGCTTCTACAGTGCTCCGTGATGTACACCATCGAGTCCTTCGTCTGAGCAAACAGGTAAGGAACCGGGAAAGAGAGGTAGATCGTACTAGTATCCTTTTCGAGTGAGGGGAGAGGTACTGTGATCGCCATTTCACACATCAACTGTACCCTGGTGGGGGTCGTGTTCAGCCGAAATTTTACACAGCGCGATGGTCTACCTCTCATCCAAATCCTTCATGAAAGGCATGACTTCTTTACATGCACTTTAGAAATGGGCTTATGCAACTCAGCTCATTGATTTGAAAAAAAATTGCAAAGGCAGCGCGCTTGCCCGCCGACTACCGGAAAACCCGAACGCTAGTGGACGCTGTTGGTCGCTGGTTGACGCTGCCGCGAAGTATGAACGCAGCCGTGGTGCTGACTGCGTAGCCGTTTGCAAAGTTTCCTTCTCACCATCAGTAGCTTTGGAAGTTCAGCGAAGTGCGACTTTGTTGCAGCGTTTTCACAAACAACTTTATTGAATCTGTAGGAGCCGATCATCACTCTGCGCGCACTCCGCATACGCCATAGATCTTCTTCTCAGCTGATCTTGCTATCGCGTTGCAAGCAGCAAGGCACCAATAATTCTTAATATCGTCAGGATGTCCCATGAAGATCTGTAAAACAACTAACTATCAAGGACTGACGGAGCAGTGTGTACATGAAATAAGTCGTTTATGCTTTGAACAACCATTTTTGATTCGTCACACATTGTCTACATACACTTTTTACCGAGAAAAGGTTTAGAGCTATTGGGCTTCTGCTCGCGGTCACATACTGAGCCCGATGAAGGTCAGATATATGGCGTAGTATAGGTGATGTCAGTCTGCGCCGAATGAACTATCTCCTGATGATTTTGACGATAAGTTGCGTTCTAGAAGCGTAGTAAGGTTTTCGAACGAACTGGGAATAGCCGGAGGAGAGTTCCTTGTGTCACTCGAAACCATCACAATAAAATAATAACAGGGACTTTTTCGAATAGCGGGCCTAGCAGAAAAAGTGCCCTTCAGGAGGTGCCAGTCATCTAGATTTCGGCACTGTCTTCCATTGTAAAAGAGGTTACATAAGAAAAATGTTATGGCTGTTCAAAGCACAAAAGCTTGTAGGTGACACTTAAATTTATCAACGACGTCACAACAGTGAAATATCTTCGAAAGGAGGTGATGGAAATCGTTTAAGCACGCTAGATAAATATCAAACCTTTCACAATATTGCTTTCTCGTATTCAGAAGCTTCACTCCCAAAAAGTTATGGATGTTCGAAAAAAGGTACATCCATAACTTTTTGGAGGGAAGCTAAGTAAAGGCATGTCCTGGTTGGTGGACATCCTTTCCCGTCCAAGTAGTCTAGCCCGCAGACTATCCAGGCGCTGTTTGTCGACGGGGGGGGGGCATTTTGCACTTTAACGACTTCCCATCGACGTGTCGACCCATCTAGACAGCCTCTTCTCGAGTTGACAGGTTTTACCATGATGGCTTGACGAGCTTGCTCCAGCTTCCACAGGTTTCACCAGAGTGAGACTTGTAAACCAGAACTAGTGAAGCAACGAAAGTGCAAAATGCCCCTCCCCCTCCGTCGGCATACTGCGCCGACTATCCACTTATCCACATCGCGGCTCCACAGTGACTGACGAAGCTGCTGCAGCCGTCGTAAGTTCTGACACCGCTCAGTTGGACCGCTCACCTTTGAAATCCATTCACATTCACACAGGGTAAGTCTCAAATGTTTATCCATTTTTGCTGACTGTATTCGTGCTCGTAAGTATAAGGTTGTTCGAATATAAACGAGGCTTTTGAAACGTTACGAATTTCAAAATTGTTCGAAAAACAAGTCGGGTAGTTTTGGTTCAGTTTTGTTTCTGCCATTTTGATGTCTATTTTACTTTCTTTTGTGCTTCATATTTTTGACTTTTGTAACACGTTTTCATTCCAGTTTGTAATGGCTCATTGGCGCGCCGGCTTATTGTCCGATTTTAACACATTCCGGACCGCGTGACACACATGGTGCGTCACACTTGTCTGCTCCCTATGGCCGCGTGACACCATGTGTGTCACGATCTTCAGGTGGTTTGGCCATGAAAAGCTCCGGTAGTTTATTTGTAAAACATTTTTCTAAAGTGTAGCCAATTCATAAAACCCTCGTGCTCTAGAAATGCATTGCACCTAGAACAATTTGCTGAGAGACTAATCTACTGAGGCCATTCGGTGTCCTGATCGTGATTATGACACACTCTTGTAGCGTCCGCTGCATTTGGCGCCACGTTGCGTCAGTTTGGCGCCGCGGCCTTTTTCACCTATTTCAATTCGAAAAACATGCGTTTGAGGGGTGATTAAGGATTCTGATCACAAAATAGACATTCTTGCTTGAAGCTTGAGCCGTTTGGCGCCAGTTTAGCAGTATGACATCTCTCACCGAAATCCATATAAATATGCATTTTTCTCATCATAAGTATCTTCGGAGGTCGCTACGTAGCGCCACAAGGCGCCGATTCAATACTATGGCATTCTTGTCTATGCTGTTCATATTCGTAACTGGGATGTGAAATAACCCTCACGTACCAATTTTCAGAGTGGGATAATCAGTAAGAAAAAATCGCGACTGAAACCTGCCCCGTGTGGCCGCGTGACACACCATGTGTGTCACGCCAGCCTCGCATCGAAAAAGGCCGCGGTCACACGTGAACGCCACGCGAAATAGGCGTCGGTCCGGAACGTGTAGAGCCATCATGGGAGTCGGCTCGCACCGCTCACTTTGCGAAGCGTTCGGCGAACATGTGATTTCGCGAAGTCAATGTCACAAGTGGTCCCGACACTTCGAAGGTGGACATGAGAGCTGAGAAGACGAAAAACTCTGACCTCGCCCTCAAGCGGTAGACGACGGATCACTGAAGAAGGCGATCGAGCCTGTTCGGACACAACGGACAGGGAAACTTGTCCCTAGGGATCGGATGTTCGCGTGTCAACATAGCTATCCGTCTTGAAGGGATTGAGACGCGTGTCAACATAGCTATCCGTCTTAAAGGGATTGAGGGACAATATATCCAATTACTTCATGACAATGGTCTACGACACTTTACGAAGATTGTTCAGCAAAAGTCGAAGAGTGGGCTCGGAGGTTTTGCCGCATTCGCCGTATATTCCGAACATTGGCTCTTTCAGACCACGATCTACTCGATCAATGCATCAGATTTTCGGGAGGAAAGTTCAACAGTATCGAAGGAGTCCGATCCTGGGTCGCACCATATCGACTCAAAGCCAACCAAATCCTTTGGGATGTTTTTCACAATCCTGCATGATCGATGGCGAAGCGTTGTTAATATTTAGGGAAAATACTGTTTGGAATAGAGTTGTTATAAAATTTTTGTGACGTT